GGGTTGTATAGTAATTTACAAGTTTAGTTCTGCAAGAAACTGCTGAACTATCTTCCAGTGTGGTGGTACCACTTTATGTTCCCACCCAGTGATGTATGAGGGATCCACCTCTGTATCCTCACCAGGGTTTGGTTTTGTCACTTTAAGAATTTTTAGTTATTCTGATAGCTGTGTGGCATTCTCTCATGGAAGTTTTAATTTGCATTTCCCTAATAGCTAATGATATTGAACATATTTTCATGTGCTTATTTGCCATCTGTGTGTGCTTTTTTGGTGAAATGACTCTTCATGTCTTTTACTCATTTTCTAATTGAATTGCTTGCTTTTTTACTGTTGGGTTTTGAGTATTCTTTATATGTATGTTCTAGATATAAATCCTTTGTGAGATATATTGTTTGCAAATGGTTTGTCCTAGTCTGTATCCCGTCTTCTCATCCTCTTAACAGGGTCTTTGTAGTACAAGAGATTTTAATTTTGATGATGCCTGTTTATAAATTTTTTCTTTTATGAATCATGCTTTGAGTGTCAAGTGTAAGAAATCTTTGGCCCTGAAGATTTTCTCCTATGTATTTCCTAAAAGTTTTATGCTTTCACGTTTTATATCAAGTCCACGGTCTACTTTGAGTTAATTTTTGCAAACATGTGAGATGTAGGTTGAGGTTTTTTGTTTGCCTGCAAACATCCAATTGCTTTAATATTGTTTGTTGAAAAGGCTTTCCTTCCTTCAGTGAATTGCTTTTGTACCTTTGCCAAAAATCAGCTGAGCATATTTGTGTGGGTCTATTTCTGGGATGTCTATATTGTTTAATCAATCTATGTGTCTATTTCTTTGTCAATACCATACAGTCTTAATTATTTTAAGTTTTAAAACTGTGTAGATTGAGTTCTCTTACCTTTTGCTTTCTCAAAATTGTTTTATTCTTGTTCCTTTGCCTTTTCTCATAAATTTTAGAACAAGCTTGCCTATCTCCCCAAAAAAACTTTGCTGGGTTTTTGATAGTAATCCTGTTAAATGTATATATCAATTTGGGAAGAATTACCATTTTAGCTATGTTGAGCTGTCCAATCCATGAGCACAGTATGCCTCTCCTTCTATTTAGATTTTCTTTGAGATTTTTTTCACTGGCATTATGGTGTTTTTCCCATAGAAATCTTAGGTAAGTTTCATTAGATTTACACCTGAGTTTTTCTTTTGGAGAGGGGCAATGATTGCAAATAATATTTTAAGTTTCTGCATATAAGTGTTCATTGCTAGCATTTAGAGATACAACTAATTTTTTAAATGTTTATCTTGTATCCTATGAACTTGTCAAACTCACTATTAGTTTTCGGAGGCTTTTTTGGTAGATTCTGTGGGATTTCCTACATACTCTAACATGCCACCTGGAAATAGAGGGAGATTTATCACTTCTTTTCCAAGCTGTAATGTCTTTTACTTTCTTTGTTTGCCTTATTACAGTTGCTAGAACTTTTAGTACAAGGTTGAATAAAAGTGATAAGTGTGGGCATCCTTGCCTCATTCTTGATATAGGAAAAAAGCATCCAGTCTTTCACCATTGAACAGGATGTTAGCTGTAGGTTGTTTTTTTTAGTTTTTATTTTTGGCTATGCTGGGTGTTCATTGATTTGCATGGGCTTTCTTTAGGTGCAGTGAGCAGCGGCTGCTCTCTTCATTGCCGTGCTTCTCCCTGCCGTGGCTTCTCTTACTGTGGAGCACAGGTTCTAGGTGCACAGATTTCAGTAGCTGCGGCTGGCAGGCTCTGGAACTTGGGCTTAGTAGTTGTACTGTACGGGCTTAGTTGTTCCACGGCACGTGGGATCTTCCCGGATCAAGGCTCAAACCTGTGTCTCCTGCATTGGCAGGCAGATTTCTATCCACTGCACCACCAGGAAAATCCATTGTCAAATTGAGATAATTCCTATTGTTCATAATTCAAAGAAACGGTTTCTTTTTTTCTTCTTGTTTTGTTTCAAAATTATGAACGGGTGTTGAATTTTGTAAATGCTTTCTTGGTGTCAGTTGAAACAATTATATGATTTTTCTTCTTTATCTTATTGATGTGGTGGATTACATTAATTGATTTTCAAATACTGAAGCAGCCTTGCATACCTGGAATAAATCCCACTTGATCAGGGTGTATAGTTTTATACAACACCAAATTTTGATTGTATTTGTCGAAGATTTTTGCATCTAAGTGCCTGAGATATATTGATCTGTAGTCTTTTGCTTTTTAAAAAATATACATAGTCTTTGTCTGATTTTGGTATCAGGGTAATACTGACCCCATAAAGTAAGTTTTTTCCTCTTTCATTTCTGGAAGATATTGTATAACATTGGTACTACTTTCTTTTTAACTATTTCATAGTTTTTGTTGTTGTTCAGTTGATAAGTAGTATCCGACTCTGTGGCCACATGGATTGCAGCATGCCAGGCTTCCCTGTCCTTCACTGTCTCCCAGAGTTTGCTCAAACTCATGTCCATTGAGCTGATGATGCCGTCCAACCATCTTACCTTCTGTTCCGCCTTTCTCCTCATGCCCTCAATCTTTCCCAGCATCAGACACTTTCCCACTGAGTCAGCTCCTCACATCAGGTGGCCAAAGTACTTCAGCATCAGTCCTTCCAATGAATATTCAGAACTGATTTCCTTTAGGATAGACTGGTTGGATCTCCTTGCAGTCCAAGGGATTCTCAAGAGTCTTCTCCAGCACCACAGTTCGAAACCATCAATTCTTCAGTGCTCAGCTTTCTTTATGGTCCCACTCTCACATCTCACATTCATATTCTCCAGTAGAATTATCTGGGCCAGGAGATTTCATTTTTGAGAGTTTTAGAATTGTGAATTCAAGCTTTATGTTTATAGTTTTAAAATCCCCACATATCTGACTAGAGAAATGTTTTGTCTACTTCACTAGAGGAAGCATGTCAGAGGGGACTACGCCCTGCCCTCCTGTGCTGTCTCACTGCAGCTGGCTCTTTTCCCTTTCTTCCCTTGGGTGCCGACAAGTATAAGGGTGGGGAGGGCAGGAAGCCTCCCTTGAGGGCACCCCAGGTGTTTCCTCACAGGCCAGGCCGTGGATGCCAAGTGTGAGACTGGGCTGCATCACCAGGGTCCTACATTAGGGCCCACAAGGGCACTGAGTGGGATGTTCCCAGCAGCCCCCATCCCCTCATGGTTACAGGACTTGATAACGAACAGCAGGTGCCAATTTGGAGACAGACACAGAGATGAAAAGTCCCAGGCGAGGGTCCCAGCCTCATACACACTGTGCTGTTGATGTTATCACTGCAACTGTAACAGCAAGAGGAGGCAGGTGTTGGGTATTAAAAGAGGAGTGTGTAAAAGTCAGGAAGACCGCAGTAGAAGATCCGTACTGGGGCTGCGAAGTTCTTATAAGGGATCAGCTTCACAGGCCTCTGATTCTGTGTGCAAGCTGTAGACCCACTGTGTGCACACTCTAGGCACACAGCTGTGTGAGCAGATGCTTGAATCTCGTCTGGCCCAGAGGCCTGAAGGCTGTCTGGGGCAGAGTCTGAACTGGCTTGGTGCCCTTCTGTACTGGACTCCTTCCATGGCGGCCTGAGCCTGCACTTCCCAAATAGCAGCTGTGCCCCATTTGGCCGTATTGGGGACACAAAGGAATTGCTTTGATATCTGAGGATGGCAGTAGCAAGAGAGGGTGGTGATGAGAAGCTGGCAGGACCTGACATGGGTTTGCCATGTAGAGGTGGAGAGCTCAGGTTTACGCAATGTGTTTACGGCCACAAAGTCAGTGGCAAAGTCCAAACAAAGTCCAGGCCTGCATTGCCGCCAATGTGACCCAAGGGTTGGTATAATGTGCTTCAGTTTTCTCACTTGTACAACAGAGAAACTGATGGTCCTAACATCCCAGTATGGTCATGAGAATTAAATGAGATAATCATGTGATAGCCGAGCACACGGCATAGATAGAGCTTTGTAAGTGCTCTGTAATATTGTTCAGTTGCCCAGTCATGTCCGACTCTTTGTGACCCCATGGACTGCAGCACACCAGGTCTCCCTGTCCCTCACCATCTCCCCAAGTTTGCCCAAGTTCATGTCCATTGCATTGGTGATGCCATCCAGCCATCTCATCTTTTGATGCCCTCTTCTCCTTCTGCCTTCAATCTTTCCCAGCATCAGGGACTTTTCCAATGAGTTGGCTGTTTGCATCAGGTGACCAAAAATACTAACCATTATTAATGTCAATATTATTAGCTATTATTATTAATATAAACGGGGTTTTACAGATGGCTCAGTGGTAAAGATTCAGCCTGCAATGCAGGAGATGTGGGTTTGATCCTTGGGTCAGGAAGATCCCCATGGAGGAGGGCATGGTAACCCACTCCAGTATTCTTGCCTGGAAAATCTCATGGACAGAGGAGACTGGCAGGTTATATTCCAAAGGGTCACAAAGAGTTGGTCACGACTAAGCACCCATACACATGCATATTATTGTTTTATGTTAATATGCTGTTCTATCACCAAAGGGAGAATTACAATGATGATAGCAATATTTAGCATGCACACAAATATGGTAAAATTAGAGTTGCTTCTAGTTCCAACCAGTCCATTCTAAAGGAGATCAGTCCTGGGTGTTCACTGGAAGGACTGATGTTGAAGCTGAAGCTCCAATACTTTGGCCACCTGATGCAAAGAGCTGACTCATTTGAAAAGATCCTGATGGTAGGAAAGATTGAAGGCAGGAGGAGAAGGGGACAACAGAGGATGAGATGGTTGGATGGCATCACCGACTCAATGGTCATGAGTTTGGGTAAATTCCGGGAGTTGGCAATGGACAGGGAGGCCTGGCGTGCTGCAATTCATGGGGTTGCAAAGAGTCAGACACGACTGAGCGACTGAACTGACTGGCTGACTAGTTCCTAAGCATGTTTGACTTTTCATTAGAAACTAACCCGAAGCTGCGGCATTCCCTGAGGTGAATTCACCTTGTCAGCTTGTCTGTCTCCCTTGGTCCCAGATGGAGCGGCTGTTCTACCTGCCCCTCAGAACCTCTCTGTACGGTCAGTCAATATGAAGCATGTCTTGACATGGAGCCCAGTCATTGTGCCTGAAGAAATAATACACTACTCTGTCGAGTACCAGGGGTGAGTTTTTATTATTGTTGTTGCTGTTGTTTTGTTTTTTAGTTTCTCTCCTTTAAACAGTAGTTGATTCCTTGAAGCACAGCCCTCATTCCAGAGCTCAAGAAGGCTTTGTGAGCCCAGAGAAAGATAATTTCCTATCATCTGCCTCCTCTGTCTTCATGGGCCCTGAGAGAATTGAAGCAACAAGGGAAATTGTCCCATGGATTTGACAGTGAATTCTCTGGGAACACAAGCATATATAAACACATTTTTGTGAAGCTTCTTTCCAACAGTGAGTCCGTTGTCTAAAGCTGAAGAAAATCTTAAGATGAAATGAGTTTGCCTCTGACTTGAGGAACAGAAATTATTTGGAGACTCAGATCTTTTAGGGGGTGGGGAGACCTCAGTTTTCCTGACTGTACGCTTGCCCCCAGGAGCCAAAACACACTGTGACCCTATAGGTCAGCTGGTCCTTCTCTAGGTGTCCAGGCCCTCAGAGCTGTCAAGGATTGACAGGGACACAGAAGGTACTCAATAAAGCTCATTAACAATTCATACAAACCAAGCAGCTACATGAGTAGACATTCTCCTAGGCTCAGGGGTACAGACCACAAAGTTTCCAGGCAGAAGATCACATTTGGAGGCAGAGACAGTAAAAACTTAAAGAAATAAGTACACTAGGTCTGCACTGTCCAACGTGGTAGCCACTAGCCATGGACAGTTATTTATACTTAAATTAATAAAAATTAAATTCAGAAGTCTGTTTCCTAGTCATATGAGCCACTTTTCAAGTTCTTAATGGCCATCTGTGGCTACTGGCTACCGTATAAAACAACACGAATACAGAAGGTTTTCACCATCACAGGAAGTTCTATCAGGCAGCACTGCTGTAGGTAAGTTCAGATAGAAATCAGTTCTAGGAGGGAGCTAAAATCCAATGCAACAGCGAGTTGGCGCTGTGGCAGCTTTTTATCTGATGGTTAGGGAAGGTCCGTCTGAGGATGTGATATTTAAGCCCATATCTGAAGGACAGGAGCAGGCAACCAGTGTGACTGCGGGGGCAGGGCACTGAGACACAGCAAACACTTGCTAAGTTGGAGGAATGGTGAGGAGGATTGTGGAGGGAGCATCGCCTTTAGGGGCGGAGGCAGAAGGCCAGAGAGTCTTGTCGGCGGGGAGAGTGTGCGTTCCATTCTAGGCTCTTTGGGAGTCCGTAAGGAGAGAAACGCTCTGCTGAGTGACAGAGGGTTAGAAGACTGGCAGGAAGGGAAGTAGGAAAGTCTGCCTGGAGACACAGCAAGGCAAGGGGTGGCAGTAGCTGAGACTAGGGTGGTGACCGTGCAGATGGAGAGACCAGGACAGAGCGGGGTTGATGCCTGGTTCTCCCTTGTCTTTGGAGAAGGAGTCAGGAAGAAAGGCTGGGTGGTGACGGAGGAGAGGGGAGGAATGGAGCGTAGAGCAAATGCTTGTTTTCCTGGCCCATAGAAAGTTAGCGGAGGAGATGGTTACTTGAAACCATCATTGAGCCTGGGTGGAAGGGCCTGGTGTGACGCTGTCCCCTCCTCTCTTTGGCCAGGGAGTATGAGAGCCTGTACATGAGCCACATCTGGATCCCCAGCAGCTGGTGCTCACCCACCCAAAGGCCTGAGTGTGACATCACGGAGGACATCACCGCCACTGTGTCATACAGCCTCCGGGTCAGGGCCACCCTGGGCTCACTGACCTCGGCCTGGAGCACCCTGAAGCACCGCTTTAACCAAAACTCAAGTAAGGCCCTTCTCTCCTTACTCCCCTGCCCACAGCAGCCTCTGCTTCAGCAGCAGTGCTCACTGAGACTGTTGGGATTCTTTTCAGCATCAAATGAGTCTTACAAAGTCAGAATGCTGCAAACATAAACAACTCTAACTGGTCCGTTGAAAATATTGCCAGCTGCTTCCTCTCTCTCATTTTGAAATGAGACTTTGGAAGTCATTCCTGGCTGTCTCTGGAAGGAAAAGTGCTCTGGAAGTGGGTAGAGGCGCTAGGACGGCCTCTCCCTAGCGTGATCATACATCATTAACTCTTAACACTCCGCCTCCCACCTGAGGCCTCACTGTCCCCATCTTTGTTGCCTGTGTGAGCAAATTCTTTGGCAATAAGGTCTCTACATGATCAGAGTGACCAAAAACAGCCCTTTGGAAATAAACAACTTTTCTATAGCAATGGAACCTGGCAAATGTATTGAGAAAGACGTAAGGGAAGAATCTGGATTGGTGACCAAAATGGTAGAGTGCAAACAATGCCCAGTGTGTAGAAGGATGTGAGGGGAAAGAGCAGGAGCAGGGTCAGGATGGCTGGGGGTGAGGAAGCAGCTGGTCACATGGTGAACGGCTTCAACATGAAGTCTCATCAGATCAGCAGAGGAGAGTCACGGAAGAGGCGGGGATCTGGGCCAGGTCTGTCTACAGAACAATCGCTCTGGCTGTGCTGTGGAAAGTGAACTGAAGTAGGACAGACCTGCAGGCCATGGGAAGAGTGAAGAGAGGGCTGTAACATCCCAGCTGAACCAAGTTGGATCGTGATCCTAGAGGAAGGGGAGAGGTGGGAAGAAGAGGACAAATTCTAGAGACTTGGTTGAGTTAGAAAGGACAGAGCTTGGTGGCCAGTTCCCGTGAGACAGAGTTGGGGGAGATGATGATGGCACCCAGCTTCCAGATGGGTTTACTAGGAATGCCATCCAAGGAAGAGAACCCAGCAGGAGTGACTGGTCTGAGGAATAAGAGATGCTGCTGGCTTTGGGCTCTTTGAGGTTGAGATTCCTATCAGACATCATCCCATGGATGTCTGATTGGCAGTTGGGAATCAGGCCCTGGGACTCAGACAGGTCACAGACATACAAAATGAAATTAATAGCTAATGGCTTGAGAGCAGGTGAGGGTGTCCAGGGACAAGATATGAGGACAAATAGAACCAGGCTAGGATTCTGGGAAACCTAGGGTTTAAAGAGAATGGAGGGGAGGGCACCAGTAGTGCTGGAGAGGGAGACAGTCAGAGGGGAGAACAGACGAGCTGCTGCCTGGCCTGAGGGAGGGCCCCAACTTGGTCCTCTTGAAAGTGGTTTCATGGAGCAGGAGGAGGCGGGATGTTGGGCAGGCTGCCCACTGGGGGATTGAGTAGAGGTGGAAAGACAGCTGTGGGCGATGATGTGACCCCCTGGGACACACAGGAAAGGCAAATGAAAGGTCTTCGGGGACCTGTATTCTCTGTGTGACAGGTGACCCTCTGCTGGGAATGAAGACACAGGGCAGTCAGGGCAGCCTCTAAATTAATGGAATGGGTCAGAGCTTCCTGAGGAGTGTGGGGGTTGGGAGAAACCAGGAGGGTTAGAAGGTGAGGGAACCCCTGCTGGAGGAGGTCGAGGAAAGTGAAGGTAGATCTGAGAGAGAACTTGGTCCTCCAGAGTCAGACAGACGGGGTTCAAATCCTGGCTCAGCCGCTTGAGTGAGAGAGGCTTGTTTCAATGGGTGGTTGGGGGTGAGATGAAAAATGCAAGTGCTTGGGGGCAGTGCTGCCTTGTAATAGCACTCAGCTATTTGTATTAATATTATTACCCTAGGGATATGCCCAGAGTTGAGAGCCAGTGAGCAGAGGAAGAAAGGAAGAGCTAGGGAGCGGGAGTGGGACCACTGGGATGGATGTGTTTGTGTGTTGGTTGCTCATTCGTGTTTGACTCTTTGTAACCCCACGAACTGTAGCCCACTAGTCTTCTCCGTCCACAGAATTCTCCAGGCAAGAATACTGGAGAGGATTGCCATTCCCTTCTCCAGAGGATCTTCCCAACCCAGGGATTGAACCCTGGTCTCCTGCATCACAGGCAGATTCTTTACTGTTTGAGCTACAGGAAAGTCCTTCTGGAATGGATACCAGTAGGAATTTTGGTGCAGGATGTGGGCTCCGCTGCCTGCCCTGTCTCCCACGGTACTGGCAGGACATGGTGGAAGCAGTGGGATCCCAGTGCCAGGCCCTGGGGGAGCCGAAGGGGCACCGGAAGTTGTTGCAGCTCTATCTCCACCCACAGTGCCTAGGCAGCACCAGCACCACCCCCCTCTGGCTCTTGGAAGCACAGGCTTCCAGCCAAGATCATTGCTGGAGGCTGGCAGCTGTTGTTGGAAATGCAGGCACGGGGCATTTGGAGATAAGGAAGTGTCTACACAGCTCTGGGGGTGGGTGTGTGCAGTAGCAACTTGTTCTTGAGAAGGCCAGTATAAACAGGAAAAGGGCTCGCTGCCGAGGAGCTGAGGAAAGGTGTCTCTGTACCTGCCCCAGAAGCAGAGGATGAGGGTCCTCATGCAGGTGGACCCAGCTGCAGAGCTGGGAGGAAATTGAGACTCCTCAGGGCATGACGTCTGCTTTTTGGCCTTTGAAAAACCCCACCCCGACTTCTCTTCAGAAATGAAAAATCTGGTGTTAAGGCTGTCTTGGAAAGGATCCCCAGTTCTTTTTTTTTTTGGATCCCCGGTTCTTAAAGGGAACCCTGTTGAGAGCAGAGGTTCTTAACCTCAATGCAAATTCAAGTCACAGAAGAGTTTTAGAACCCCTAATCTCTGGGACCCATCCCTAGAGTATGATTTAAGTGATCTAAGTGCATCCTGTTCCTTGGGAGTTAAAAAACACCCCACACAGCAGAGTCTAGAAACGTGGAAAGACATGAGCTCAAAGTCTGGCCATTCACTGGATGACTCTGGGAATGTCACTTAACCTCTCTGAGGCTCTGCTATGTCATCTGTAAATAGGAGCAGTATTTACTTTCTGAAGCTTCCTGGTTGGATTAAATGAAATGAGTATGTAGAGTACATAGTAGAGAGGTTTCTGCCCCAACATTGTCAAAAAATCATCTGAACTGAAATGACACGCGGTCAATTTGTCTAATTCTATTCTCCACGTAGAGGGAGATCAGGGGATCCAATTCTAATCATGTTTAACTTAAAAGTGGAGGAGTCAACCATCTCCTTTCTTACTGGAGGTATTTCACAGGCAGTTCTAGCAGTGCTGTGTGCTCATATGAATCCTCTGATCCGGGTATGTTTTGCACAGTTGCCCCCTGACTTCCCAAGTCCTCCTGTCCCCTTTCCAGGCAGCTCTTTAGATGCCAGGAAATACTTTGTTCTCTGAAAACTCCCTGCAGGAACTGCCTTTCTGTTGAGTGTCCACTGACCCCAGTGCAGGAGGATTTAGCCAGAACATACTCCCAAGCCACAGCCCACAATTGGGGTGGCCCTTCTGGTCTGGCAATGTCTGGATCTGAGAGGAAGCTCTGGATCTATCATCAGTAGGCAGGGACTGAAGACTGTCTGTGTGGGCCCTTTGGTTCCTGGCCTGCTAAGTGGAAAGTATCCATGGGGTCTGCAGGTCTCTGTTTTGGATCCAATAACATGAAAGATGGTGTTTGTGCTTAGGCTGTAATTACTAGACCTGATTCTTGGAATTTGTAAAACCCTCTGACTTTCCAACATCTCCCATAAAGCTATGAGATGAAGACTTCTTGGACTGGGAATAGAAAGGCCAACCCATCCACAGGCTGCTAATCTGCTGATGTTTGAAAGTTAGCAGCAGACGGTATATATCTATGTGAATTGTACTAAATGGTTGTTTGTTTTTTTCATTTGCTCATCATTCACAAAGAGTTTACTGAGCACCTGCGGAGTACAGTGCTTGCTTCTGCATGCTATGAAGCCACATCAAAACCCCTCCCCTCCCATGAGCCTGGTGTGTTTCCACTGATGGTTTGGTCATGGTCTCCCTGGACAGAAATCAGTCCTGTCTGGGACTGGCTTTGACTCTCCCCTTGTCTTGCCAACAGCTATCCTCACCCCACCTAGGATGGAGATCACCATGGACGGCTTCCACCTGCTTATTAAGCTGGAAGACCTGGGGCCCCATTTTGAGTTCTTCGTGTCCTACTGGAGAAGGGAGCCTGGTGCCAAGGTGAGACTTGCAGCCTGGGCCTTTGAGTTAGACTTTGGAGAAGCTCTGAGAACTGGATGAGGAAGGCCAGCTCCTGCAGTGCCCACTGTCTGGGGTGGCCAGAGGATGAGCAGGCCTGGGTGAAATGAGGGAACACAGAGATGGGTGTAGGCTGACAATGCTGGCAGCGTCAAACTCAAAGGACTGCCTTTTTCCAACCCAGACTTTGGCTGGAAGCCGTCTCAGGACACATTCGCTGAAGTAGGGGAGCCACCTCCTTGCCTTAAACTCTGTCATAGTTGGATCCACAATACCTGTGCAATGCATTTCTCCCCCATCCGCATGTCTTCTCGGCCATTCTTCCCGCTGTTTAGGGGGCAGCAGACAGGGCTGTTCCAAATCAATTGGGTGATTTCATAAGTATATGAGGCTGGTCGCAGCTTCTTGAGGGTGTGCATCTGGGCTGGGTGCAGAATTAGGGGCAGAGAGCCAGGAGCTAGCTTATAAACAACCCTAATTACGAGCCAATGGGCCACCCGGAATGCCTAGATGGGGCGCAGCCCGTCCCTGTGGGATGGGTGCTGCGGGCCAGGCTGGGTGGGAGGTCAGCTCTCTCAGAGGGAGTGGCTGAGCTGCAGCAGCAGAAGCATGGAGCGTGGGTGCACCTGTGGAGCCCTGTCCAAGCTGAAATGGTGATAAAACCCACTCAAATCAGCGCAAGGAAAAGTAGGCTCTGTCACAAGGATTGTTATTGTTTAGTCACTCAGTTGTGTCTGACTCTTTGAGACGCCATGGAATATAGCCCATCAGGTCAGGTTCCTCTGTCCATGGGATTTTCAAGGCAAGAATACTGGAGTGGGTTGTCATTTCCTTCTCCCGGGGATCTTTCTGACTCAGGGATCGAACTTGCGTTTCCCGCGTTGGCAGGAGGATTCTTTGCCACTGAGTCACCAGAGAAGCCCTGTCACAAGGATTAACACGGTGCTGTCGGGGGCTCTCACAGAATCCGTGACTGGAGCAGGCCCAGAGCCAGGCTGCTGCACAGCCTCACTCACGCAGAGGCCCCTGTCTGCCTGGGGGGCCCTAGCTTCCCCTTGGGGGATCCTCTCTATGCGCTCTGCCCATGGCCCTCGCCCCAGCTTGCCCTGACCCCTCATCACTCCTTCCTGTGAGTACCTGTGGTTGTGACTGACTCCCCTCACCATGTCCTCTCCCCTTGGTCCCTGCTTCTGGCTGCAAGTATTCAGTTCCTCAATACCAGTTCCCAGGACAAGAAATCTGACTGGTCCTGCTGACTTTATCAGCCCAAGCGTAGGGGTTGCCAGATGCTGGCTGGCCTTTGATAGACCCTTCTCCATCCAAGGGTACCCCTGACCTAATGCCAGGACATGTGCCCCACCACACTCCCCTGGAAAGGGAGTGGCCATGGTTTCTAGTATTTACTTCTGCTGGGTCAGGGCCCAGTGGTAGGGCCTGGCGCTGCAAGCTGGGCGGATGCAGTTGTGTGGGAGCAGATCAGGGCCTGAGCTGCAGGGAACAGGCAGGTTCCTCAGGTGCTTTGGGAGAGGAGTGCCTGCCCTGAGTCACCTGGGCTTGGCCCAGACAAGCCTCCGCAGGCCTCAGGGGGTGGCAGGGGTGGAGGGCTGTGCAGATGGACGGACAGACAGTGGATGGGTGGATGCGTGAGGAGGCACTGCCCACTGGCTGCAGTGCTCCTCCTCACTGACCCTCTGGAAGTTGTGGCCGGGCCAAGCACCCAGTCAGCTTTCTGTCCAAGTATGAGCGTATCAGAGAGGCCTCCCCGAGCCACTCTGCCGGTGCCTCCTCATCACTACTCCATGATGCCTCGTAACCCTCATCACCACCTGATGTGTGTTATCAATGGTCCGGCTTCCTCATGTATGACATAAGCTCCACGAGGGCAGGAACTTTTTGTTTTGTTCAGTGCTGTGTGTCCCTGTTTTGTTCAGTGTCTACAACTGTGCCTGGCACACAGTAGGTGCTAAATAAATGAGTAATTTTTAAAAAATGAATGAACAAATGAAAGAATGAGAGGAACATTCTGTATGCAGAAAGGAAATATTGACAGCGTTCCTTCCCTCCTCCTCTCCTTTTCCTGTCCCGCTTCATTTAAGGTGTGACTGTTTTTTGGTTTCCTAAAGGAACATGTCAAAGTGGTGAGGCCCGGGGTCCTTCCCGTGTACCTGGAGATGGTGGAGCCCGGGGCGGCATACTGTGTGAAGGCCCGGACGTTCGTGAAGGCCATTGGGCGGCACAGTGCCTTCAGCCAGCCAGAATGTGTCAAGGTGCAAGGTAAGGCAGCCTGTCTGCCCCTCCTGCGTGTGCACGGCGCCTGCTGCTTCCTCTGGCTCTGAGTCTCCCCTTGGTTTCCCTGACCTGCTCCCCTAGGCTGCACGGGTTCTGGTGGAGAAAGTGCATCGTGTTCTAAGCCCCATTCCAACCCAGAGGTGAAAGTCCACCCTCAGGCTGGGTGGGGGTCCCTTGGCAGATGTCTGGCACACTTTCCCCTGACAGCTTCCGAGGCCTGAGGACAGATTTTGCAAAGCTGATTGACCAGGTGGCCGCTGCCTGCGAATCAGGGGCCAGTGCAGGTGAGGCAGCTGGAGCCTCTGAAGGTCAAACCTTGTGAGGGGGTGCCCACTGCGCAGCACAGCCGCTGTCAGCTGGGAGGGGCCTGATGGAAAGCCTGTAGAATCCTCTTCTTTAATTTTTTCCCTTAAATTTTTTGTGGCCTAAAAACCTACAATGAAAAGAAACAAAATGAAACCCCACATCCGGTGATTCTGTCATACAGACACCACCAGTGACATTTGCATATAGCTTTTTAGTTTTTAAAATATAATTTTGAATATTTGGTATATATATATTTCAAAAAATATGATAAGAATTTGGAGTTGGCTTCCTCCTCCTCTTCCTCATCCATGTCATTCCTACCCACTCCCCCATAGGGGTTAGCTCTTTGTATATCTTTCTGAAAACTTCCCAATGCATTTACAAGTAAATGGGAATAAATTATTATATATTTTTCTTCTTTTTAGCACAAATGGTATCATATTCCATGCACTGTTCTGGATCTTTTTATATCTTCCAGATCTATAAAGTCTTTTTCACTTTATACATATTCTAGATTTTTCCATATCTAAAAAAAGAATTTCTTTATCCTTCTTTTACTAGCTACCTAGTATTCCATTGTGTGTTGTGTACCTGTAACTAATTTAACTACCCCTCTATTGAGGGGTGGGCTTCCCCGGTGGCTCGGCAGCAAAGAATCTGCCTGCAAGGCAGAAGACACAGGAGATAAGGATTTGATCCCTGGGTTGGGAAGATCCCCTGGAGGAGGGCATGGCAACCCAATCCAGTATTCTTGCCTGGAGAATCCCATGAAGAGGAACCTGCCAGACTATAGTCCATAGAGTCACAAAGAGCTGGAGATGACAAGCAGCTGAGCACACGCGCACGGAATTGAGAGGTATTTAGGTTTTTTCCTGATATTTTGCTATTAGAGCCAATGCTCTCATTAGTTACCTTGTACATAGATCATTTGCTGGTGTATGTGAAGGATAAATTCCTGGCAGCAGAGTTGCTGGGTCGAAGGGATACACATTTGAATTTTGACTGCTGTTTCCAAATTATCCTCTAAAAGGGTGTTATCCTTCATGTAGACATATATTCCAGTTGTATTATACATATGTTTTGTGTCTGTTTTTTCACAAATATCATATCAAAAACATTTTTCATGAAGACTTTCTGATTACCGTTTTATACTATTTTTTAAAACCATTTAGGTCAAGCTTGTTAAAAAAAATCCAAACAACAGAGAGGTATGTGGAGTAAGAAGTGTGTGTATGTGTGTGTGAGCTCAGTTGCTCAGTTGTGTCTGACTCTTGTGTGAGCCCATGGACTATAGTCCGCCAGGCTCCTCTGTCCATGGAATTTTCCAGGCAAGAATCCTGAAGTGGGTTGCCATTTCCTCCTCCAGGGGATCCTCCTGATCCAAGTTTTCCATTCTCCCCACACCACTGAGGAGGTTTCCTTTGGCAAGTGTGGTGGTTAATTTTGCGATCATCGTGTGAGGCCAGAACTCACAAGCACAGTTGGGACTGTACTGTGCTTACTGCTCTGTACCACCCTCACCTTCACTTGGTATTGCTATTGTGAACACCTGTTCATGTCAGTACATATGGATCTACCTCATTTTTAAAGATGCATAACAAGCCAGTGTGTGGATGTGTCAAAATACATGTAATACACCCCGTAACTAGGTATATTCTGCGCTTTCCAGTGTTTTGTGACTACCACGCCTGCTGCAGTGAACAAGCTTCTGTATATTATGTATCCTAATTCTCATTTTAATAGCTGACCTCCTGACCTGACATGCTGATATTTGATGATGTAGTAAATCATCCTCTACTTGGGGATATTTAGGTCATTTCCATCTGCTTTTTAAAAAAAATTATTTAGTTTTGTCTGCTGGGTCTTCCTTGCTGCATGTGGGATTTCTCCAGTTGCGCCAGGCGGGGGCTATGTTCTACGTGCAGTGCTCAGGCTTCACGTTGCAGTGGCTTCTCTTTTTGCAGGGCACGGGGCTTCCGTAGTTGCAGCTCATGGGCTTTAGAGCGCAGGCTCAGTGGTTGTGACACATGGGCTTAATGGTTCAGTGTCATAGGCTCTTCCCAGACCAGGGATCAAACCCATGTCCCCTGCATTGGCAGGTGGATTCCTAACCACTGGACTACTCCTGGAAGTACCCATTTCCATCTTCTTTTGAAGATGATGTTCATTTTCACTGATTCATTCATTCATTCAGTGAATAATTGCTGAGCACTGACACTGGGATATAGCAGACAAGTCCCTGCCCTCACTGAGCTTACCTTCTAGTTGAGTAGACAGACAAGTAAGCAAATGAGATGGTTTCCCTTGGTGGTTCGTGCTATGAGGGAACACACCAGAGCATGCTGGGGTGGAGGGAGGTGCAGGTGTGCTGCTTTGGGCTCAGCGGACAGCTGGTTACGAGGCTGTGGCTCTAATCTAGATGCTGCTGTGAGCTGCTTTATGTGTATGTTTTGTCTTCTTTGGAATCTACTCACAGGAGCAGATGAAAGAGTCTGAACATTTGTGTATCTCCTGATGCATGCTCTGTGCTCACTCAGTCGTGTTTGACTCTTTTGCAACCCCGTGGATTATACCCCACCAGGCTCCTCTTTTCATGGGGTTTTCTAGGCAAGAATACTGGAGTGGGCTGCCATTTCCTTCTCCAGGGGATCTTCCTGACCCACGGATTGAACCCATGTCTCCTGCATTGGCAGGCAGAATCTTTATCACTGAGCCTCCTGGGAAGCCCCATCGCTTGATGTGTACTGCCAAAATAGTTTCCAAAAGCATTGAGGAGACCTCCCAGCTCCTCTGCAGCGCATCAGCTGTGCCACCCTTCACACTGTGGGTGAGCAGCCCAGCTCAGAGGGGCTACGTGAATAGGACAGAAAGATGGGAAAATAACCCACCCCCCACTTCCACATCTCCAGATGCTCAGACTTGGCACTTTCTTAGTAGCATTTGGAGCACAGCCCTCCCTGCGTGACCTGGGGTAAGTCACTTAACCAGTGCCAGAACTTGATACATCAGAGTTATTATGTGACTGTGTACTGAATTCAGTATTTTCCTCCATAATACGGATCAATGCCAAAAGAAAATTGTGAAACACACTTTGTTTTCAGTTACCGCCCAGCTTCCTTCTGGGCTGTGCTCTTGGGCACCACCCCCTCATCCTGCCTGGGGGCCTGGCTCTCTGCCTTCCTTCTGGCAGTGGTGCCGAGGTGCATTCAAACACAGCTAGTGCTTAATGCACGAGGCTCGCCCCTTTTCCTTCCCAAGAAAAAGGCTGTCATCGTCCTTGGCTTTCTGGAAACCAGTCTGGATTCTAGAAGAACAATTGAATGGTGGTCACTCTTGTCCCTGGGGCATATGTCAGATCTCAGGGTGCCAGAGTCTGCTCTCTTGATCCATCTGCAGAGCCAACCCCAGGAAGGCCAGGGAGGCCCAGAACTGGCGAGCAAGCAGGTCTTCAAGGCTGTCTCCTAAGCCAGTTCCTGTCTTTCTGTTTCCAGGAGAGGCCCTGCCTCTGGCCCTGGCCCTGTTTGCCTTCGTGGGCTTCGTGCTGATCCTGGTGGTGGCGCTGCTCTCCCTCTGGAAGATGGGCCGGCTGCTCCGGCACTCCTGCTGCCCCGTGGTGATGCTCCCCGACACCTTGGTAACTGCTGTTCTTCCTTTTAGTGTGATGCGCTGTCCAGATGTTGTCTGGGCCTGAGCGCGGCATGGACCTCCGCTTCGTGGGTTTACAAACATTTGCACCAAGAAGGGAGAAGGACCTCCCTTCTAATCAGAGGGGCTAGGAGACCGCCCTTCTGGGTGGGGGGTGGCCTCCCCCAGGCTCCCATCAGGCCTCTGCTGCTTGCCCCTAGGGCCTGGCACAGCCAAGGCAGCAGGTGTGTAGCCCAGCCCAGGAGCTCGGCGTTCCAGGAATCATGCGAAGTCTTACGCTAAGGACCGGCCTGCCGGGTCTTCTTGGCCTCCTGCAATCATTATAACAGCAGCTACATCCAGACACATGTTGCAACACAACAGAGTCAATTCATACAATCATACACCAAGAGCATCCTGGGTTCTTGGGGTGAGGCACACATGTGTGAGTGTGGGGCATGTGGACAGTGCTTTGCCTTTGGCTGGGGCAGGGAAACTATCTGGACCTGCCCAGTGACTACCCAAGGTGAGGGGTCCCCACAGCTTGCAAGCCAGGAGAACCCTGGGCTATTGATCTGAGTCTCCTGGTGAGGGCAGGCCCTGTGGACTTTGCAGGGGTGGGGGGAAATGCAAAAGCAGTCCTCCATGTTGCATCTGTACAGAACTTCAGGAGCTAGTGTCCCTCAAATGACAAGAGCTCCTAGGAATCCTAATGCATTCTGTTCTTCTTGTTGTTCAGTCACTAAGTCGTTTCTGACTCTTTGCCACCCCATGGACTGCAGCACACCAGGCTCCTCTGTCCTCCACTATCTCCCGGAGTTTGCTCAAATTCCTGTCCATTGAGTCAGTAATACTAACTGTCTCATCCTCTGCCACCCCCTGGCCTTCTGCCTTCAATCTTTCCCAGCATCAGGGTCTTTTCCAATGAGTCGGCTCTTCACATCAGGTGGCCAAAGTATTGGAGCTTTAGCTTCAGCATCAGTCCTTCCAGTGAATATTCAGGGTTGATTTCCTTTAGGATTGACTGATTTGATCTCCTTTCAGTCCAAGGGACTCTCAAGCTTCTGCGAAAATCCAAGCAACTGAGATGAGACCAGAGACAAGAGATTCTGTGAGAGAATGTCCACTTTGGTCCATGGAAGATAAATGCCATGATACTTGACCCCCCTTTGCTTCTCTGTTCCCCTTACCATCCTTCCTACATTGTTCCAATGTCTTCCTACATGCATTCCTTTCCATAAGGCTTTTAGTTTCTATTCTGTTTTCCCCCAGATTTTAACGTGAACAGTTTCTTTGTCCACTTTGGTCCATGGAAGATAAATGCCATGATACTTGACCCCCTTTGCTTCTCTGTTCCCCTTACCATCCTTCCTACATTGTTCCAATGTCTTCCTACATGCATTCCTTTCCATAAGGCTTTTAGTTTCTATTCTGTTTTCCCCCAGATTTTAACGTGAACAGTTTCTTTGAGTATATGCATTTCCTGCAGTGCTGTGTGAGAAATAGATTGCTAGTGTCCATCAAACCCCAAACAAGTGCTGGAGCTGCACACCTCCACTGCCATCACCCCCATCCTCAGCCTTGAGTTTAGCACAGCCTAGCTGCACTTCAGCACTGGCCTTAGTCATGGATAATCCTCCAAACTATTGAAAAGCAGCTTCTAGCCAACCTTGCAAAATCCATGCATCTTTCCAATTAAACCATGGAAAATTACCAAGTGGAAATCCTTGACAAGCTTCAAAAAGTCCTATTGAGCTTGTAAGTGTTTTATCTGTTTGGATTAAACATTTCATGTCTACATCTGTAATTTTACAGTTGGTGATGGTTGCACTCTGAAATATACCATTAAGAATGTCTTTCCATTCAAGTTTATATCACTAAGGAACAGTCTAAAGGAAAAATATATATGCAAGGAGAATTATATTAAGACTGCTAGGTGTGTGTTCCCTATTTTAAAATATAATGTGTTTTCCTTGTCTTTTATCCATAATTGCTTCATGGAGATGGAAGCTTTGGTGCTAAAGGTCTTACTTTCCTTCTGTGACTCACTTTATTCTTTCTCTTCTTGCTGTCACATTCCACTGTAATGTGGGCAGCAAACATCAAGATGGCCCCAAGTTAGTCATCTCCAAATTGAGATATGCTTCAATGGACTATCCCAAGTCTGACTTTGTGTGCTTCATAGAAAGTGGAGTTTGTGAACAGAAACAGACTCAAGAGACTTAGAGAACGAACTTACGGTTGCCAGGGGGATGTGATACTTAGGGAGTTTGGGATGGACAGGTACACACTGCTGTATTTAAAATGGATAACTGACAAGGACCTACTGTGTAGCACATGGAACTCCACTCAATGTTATGTAGCAGCCTGAATAGGAGGGGGGTTTGGGGGAGAATGGATAAATGTATATGTATGGCTGAGTTCCTTTGTCCACCAGAAGCTATCACAACATTGTTAACTGGCTATGTGCTGTGCTAAGTCACTTCAGTCACATCTGACTCTTTGTGACCCTGTAGCCCACCAGGCTCCTGTGTCCATGGGATTCTCCAGGCATGAATAATAATCGACTATACCCCAGTACAAAATAAAAAGTTAAAAACAAAAAAAGAAAGTGAAGTTTGTGAACTCAGATGCCTCGGGGGCCCAGACAGGTACAGAAGAAAAAAAGGGCCCAGACAAAAAAAGAGTGTATAGTACAATAAATGTGACTTAAGAGGGAGAGATGGATATGGGGACCAAGGCTCACATGCCCCAGCTAAAGAAATCATCTGCTTCTCGGTTCTAGCAGGTTGCTACCAAGAGGGGATATGAGCTGGTGGTCCCTGGGCTCCATGTTTGAAATGAGAAACCAGAAATCCAGACTTTATGATAAATCTCCTGATTTTTGAATGTTAAGGGATAATTCAAGTTTATATATTTATATATNAGTCACTTGTACACTGTCCTTGCCCATTATTTGCCTGTGGACGCAGGAGTGAGCCCTGAAGCCACTTCTTTACAAACAAGATCCAGAGCAACTGACTTAAATCTATTGTCTCCTGGGGGCTGGGGTGGAGGAAACCATGGTGCCCACCTGTCTGTGCCCATGTTCAGAGTAATGATGGTAATGATGGGCAGGGCTTCAGGAGAAGCTGTTTAAGAGTCAGGTGAGTCTGGTGGAAGCAACTGAGTTAGCAATAGTGGCGAGAGTTACCTTGAAAGGAAGATACCTGCATTTTTACCATCAGTTATGATGATGTATTGGGGTCACTGGGAGAAGATGGCAAGAAAGTGAAATATGAGTAGGAAGGGACTTCTGTTTATGGAGCACCATCCCTGGAGTGGACACTCTGCTAGTACTGTTTGTAGAGCGCCTTGGACCAGGTCACTATTCTCAGAGCTCTCTGGTGGAAGAAGGCTAGATTTTTGGAACCAGCACTACATGCTGGGCTTTTGTGGGGCAGGGTCCCTGAGGAGGCAGAACCTAAGAGATCTGCTGGTCAGTGATGTGGGAGATGATCTCAGTAAAATGGCAAGCCCATGCTCTAGGGGTTAGAATTGTCTTTGGGACTTTTTTAAAGTTTATTTATATGGCTGCATTGGGTCTTGGTTGCAGTACGTGGGAAATCTGTTGTGCCTCAGAGATTTACTAACTGTGGATCATTCCAGAATGTGTGGGTTCAGTAGTTGAGAAGCATAGGTTTAGTGGCTCCGAGGCACATGAAATCTTACTTCCCTGATCAGGGACTGAACCTGTGTCCCCTGCATTGGAAGGCAGATTCTTAACTACTAGACCACTAGAGACGTCTCTTCAGGCTTTTTTGTTGCTAGAAAGTTGATGAGTGAAATAGTTGGGATTTTTGGTGATATTCTCTTCAACTCTGACTATGAATATTAACCTAATGATTATGAATGAAAATTGTCTTTCAGAAAATAACAAATTCACCCCAGAAGTTAATCAGCTGCAGAAAAGAAGAGGTAGAAGCCTGTGTGACTTCAGGGCTGTCTTCTGAGGAGCTGCTCAAGGCCTGGATCTAGCAGATGAAGCCGAGAAATCTGGGCTGCAGGACACAAAAGCCACGAGGGGAAAGGCCACGCTTGTTTTCCTTCAAGGACAAAAGACAAGAGAAGAGCCTGCTATGTCCATGTCTAGAAGCAACTGTCAGAGGCAGGGTGGTAGGGCTGATGGAGTGCTAAGAGGGGGTCAGGGGATGTGACCTCCAATACTGGATCTCTGCCATCTACTAGTAGGATGACTCTGGGGGAAAATGACTTAGTCTCTCTGCCCCTCAGTTTTCTCATCTGTACAATGGTTAACTACTTGACCATTAAACCATATGTGTATATATATATCCATATTATCTCTCTGCCACTTGCAGAACTGTTGGGAAATTGGCAACATTGTACATTGTGATTGGTTCTGCTTTTCTGAAGAGCAGCAGGTTCATGTGTAACAGGGATGACCAGAGATTACACAAGCAATGGCCACTTTCCTGGAGGAAACTTTGAAGACACAAGGAAGGCTGGGTATAACGAGGTTGATTTCACTTCAAGCCAAATGCCTGTGCATGCATGTGGGCCAAGTCACTTCAGTTGTGTCTGACTATGTGACTCTACGGACTGTAGCCTGCCTGAGCAGAGGTGACTGAATGGCTCAGCCAGCAATAAGATCTGTGGCCTAGAGGGAGACTACAGCCCCACTGAAAATGGGCTGCGCATGGATGCTGCTGACCTGTGAAATGCAGTGCTGGGTAAAGAGGGTGTGTACACTGAGGACAGCAGCTGAAATGAGTGTGCATGATGAGATGAGACTGCAGAAGGCTGTTGATCACAAGTGTAATGTTTTCTGTATTCCTTTTTCCTGTGGAGTTGTTACAGTACAGCATGAAAAATAAAAAGAGGTCACCTTGTGTAATCATTTTGGTTTCTTCCAAAACAGTAGTCTTTAGGGTTAGAGTTACATCATCAACCTTGAGTCCAGGCTGCATGAAGGCCACCCTTGGTTAAGATGTTGGGGGTAAGCCCAGGTAGGGGACAGCGTCTGGCTGCATAGGTGCTCTACTTGAGGCAAGGTGCTCCTGGGTATTCCTGGGGGCCTCACACTATAGGAAATCCCTTGGGGAACTTCTTTAAGATAGCCCCTCAGAGCGTCCTTAATTCTCCCAGCATGTTCATCCTGGACCCATGACTGAAGTCTCTTCCTGACCCTCTCGCCCACCAGGTGAGGAAGAGTCAGGGTCAGAGAAGGGATGGAGGGGGGAGTCTCTTGAGGGCTGAAGTGATTGTTGGGCAAAGCCTGGGTCTCCCTTCATAGACTCCACCTTTCCCAGCTCTGGAGCCTCTGAGCTGGTTTGTTTCCACCCCCACTTCCTGGGCCCCTTCCACCCAGCCTTGAGGTGGAGACAGTCTTAACTGCTTCAGCCAGGTGTTTCCCCTATAAGCCAGAGGCCCCCAGCCCTCTCTCCACCTGGGCAGGGGTTTCAAGGGACCAGAGGAGGGGCTCTCTCTAAGATGAGATCACTGGAGATAGCTTTTTTTTTTACTGTTTTGTATGTTTCTGCATTGTTTGAGTCTTTTATGAAGAGTATATGTTCATTTTACTTTGGCCAAACTGGAATCATATTTTTAGTTTGCAGGAATAAAGACCTACTACTTTACCAGTCATGACCCGCTCCTTCTTCTCCCCTGCCCTCCACCCTCAGTCTACAGTTGCCCTATCACCTGTCCAGACCCAGAACTCAGAAATGATCCCTGACTTCCCTCTGCTTGCATCCCTCTCACAGCTAGTTCCCTTGCCCATCCAGCTCGCAGGCTTATACAGGTATCCAGCCATTTCCCTCAATTATCCTGTTGTCCTTCCATGTCCCCAGAATCATTTATGGAAGTCTGACCATGCACCAGATATTAAGTTGGTCCTTGAGTAGAGGGGTGCCCTATTCCATAGCTGGCCATTCCATCTGTCCTGAGTCCTGGTATTCTGACTCCCTGGCCTCTCCTCTGATTGATTTACCCCTATTACCTGGACTCTTCAACGAGTGAAAGAGGTGTGAGTAGTAACTACAACAGGAATACTGACCATCTCTCACAGCCCTTGATGATGCTCAATGAGCAGACACCCCTGACCCCAGAAGCAAGCACATTTTTCTTAATCCTGCCTTCAGATGCTGCCAAGGAACAAAATCCTGGTTCCATGAGGCTTACCTTTGGATGGTTGGGCCAGGGGGAGGAATAATAATAAAATAATAACAGTATTTGTCATTATTAAGTGAATTATCTAGAATATTGGGAGTGTGTAAGTCCTATGGGAAAATGACAAGATGGAGCAGAAAATGGAGGGATGGGATGAGGGCAGATTGCAGCTTTTTCTGAATGAAAATAAATGGAAACAGCAGAACCACAATGCTAGTTAAGTCCTTCCGTAGTGTGGGGGCCTAAGCCTGTGTGTGTGCTAACTCACGTCAGTCATGTCCTGAAGTGCAGGACCCTATGGACTGTAGCCCCCCCAGGCTCCTTTGTCCATGGGATTCTCCAGGCAAGAATACTGGAATGGGTTGCCACGTCTTCCTCCAAGGGATCTTTCTAACCCAGGAATTAGAACCCGTATTTCCCACATTGTGGGCGGAATCTTTACTGCTGAGCCACTGGGAAAGCTCAGGTTAAGTGTGACTCTAGAGCAAACGGTTTGGCAACAAGTCCTTAGGAGTGTGTAGCCTAAAACAGAAACTTCACTCAATATTTCTACTGTTTGTACTGACAGTCTTTTGTTTGTTTTTGTTTGTTTGTTTTTAGCTATTCTCTTAAGTTGTCACAGCAAGTAAATGATTATGTTTATTTGGATAGGAAACTAGATTTCAGGATTAGTGAAAGGGAAGGTCAATGGTACACTCAATTATTTGAGTAGGAGCAGTGTACTACTGGAACTGAATTGAATATATCAATATGAAGTCATGCCTTTATAAAACATTACATTAGAAGTATATTTCCTTTTGGGCTTTTTGCCACCGAAGTGGCCTAGTTGCAATGTACCCCATATTTTGCCTTTTTTTTTTTTTTGCTATTTTTCTCTCAAAAGGAGCCAAGGTTTCTTATAGCAATGTCTGACTCCATACCTGGTTTGGGGTAGAAGTGAGCAAGGTAATAATGCCAGGACACTTACACCTTGTTGGGCCAGAAGCAAAAAGCTTTAAATAATTGGCTCATTCAAAATTATGCAAGGTATCAATCTAAAAGAGGTAAATTTGCCTCAGCCAAAGTTGGGACAATGTGAACATCAAAAGGAGACTACTGGCTGATATCAATGGGCACAACACATTTGCAAAGTCATGGGTCCATAATTGTACATGAAAAGAGCAAATGTTAATACAATGAATTCTCAAAGAAGATGAATAAAATGTATTTCTACCGAGTCGTGTTATTGAATCCTGTTGGGCTTGCTGACTCCCTGTATCTAAGGAGCATACCTGTAAATGTAAACTGGTAAATGTAGCTACATCAGTCAGAAGGCGTTCTTCTCCACCACCCTTCCCTGGCCCAGGCCATGACCTGCTGAATGCCTGCAACAGCTTCCCCTTCCTGCCTCTCTGCACTTGCCTATCTCCTGTCTTTCCAGGGATTCCCCTTTTTTTTTTTTTTTGCTATTTTTCTCTCAAAAGGAGCCAGGGTTTCTTATAGCAATGTCTGACTCCATACCTGGTTTGGGTAGAAGTGAGCAAGGTAATAATGCCAGGACACTTAACACCTTGTTGGGCCAGAAGCAAAAAGCTTTAAATAATTGGCTCATTCAAAATTATGCAAGGAATCAATCTAAAAGAGGTAAATTTGCCTCAGCCAAAGTTGGGACAATGTGAACATCAAAAGGAGACTACTGGGTGATATCAATGGGCACAAAACATTTGCAAAGTCATGGGTCCATAACTGTACATGAAAAGAGCAAATGTTAATACAATGAATTCTCAAAGAAGATGAATAAAATGTATTTCTACCGAGTCATGTTATTGAATCCTGTTGGGCTTGCTGACTCCCTGTATCTAAGAAGCATACCTGTAAACGTAAACTGGTAAATGCAGCTACATCAGTCAGAAGGCCTTCTTCTCCACCACCCTCCCCTGGCCCAGGCCATGACCTGCTGAATGCCTGCAACAGCTTCCCCTTCCTGCCTCTCTGCACTCGCCTATCTCCTGTCTTTCCAGGGATTCCCCGGCAAAACTTTTTAAGTTCCTTTTACAAACTGTAGACTCCGTCTAGCTTCTGTGCTACCCTTTCCCATCTCTTAGATAATTTTTCTTATTTTTCTGTGTGCCCCGTTTTTTCCTTTGGCTAACATCCTGTGGGTGCTCAGAGTTCTCAGTTTCCTTGGAATCTGGGTCCCTTTAGGGACCAGCTTCTGAGCCCACCTGGAGTGGGGACCTCATCACGTCCACGGGTGTCTGGCGCCACCTTGTGTTGAATGCTGGAAATTCCTTCTATTGTTCCCATTTGCCTGGAAGTGCCCTGGGCTTCCTGGAGAGAGAAAAGGAAAACTCAGGCAAATTCCCTAGAATGAGAACTCTAGAATGAGAACTGCAGAACTTCCATGGGCTTGGTCGAACCTCCGCCGTCATCAGTGGATTTAGACTTTAGCAGACACCATGTCCTCCCTGGTGCTCACTGCCCCTTGCACACAGTGAAGGGCTCTGTTCAGCGCCCCTGGGGCTCTCCCTCTTTGCTGCACCTTGGCCTCTGCCTCAGGCCTCTGTCTACCAGTCTTCCCTCTATGCTGCCCTTCCCTACCTCTTTAAAAAACAGTTTTTAATATTTTCTCCTGTGTTCTATAGCCTATCCCAGAGTTTAACTGATTTTTTTGGTTGTTGGGGGGTTTTTTTTCCTTGCCCGTTGGTTCTTTTGAACCCTTTTTGGCCCCGGGCTTTTTTGCCTTTTGGACCCGGCCCCTAGGGGTTGCCCCCAATTTCCGTTTTTTTTTTGTTGGTTTTCGGTTCTTCAGGGTTCAACGAAAAAGGCCGGGAAATTCCACTTTCCTTGGGGTTGGGGGCCCCCCCGGTTGGGGGCAGGGGGGAGGCCCCGGCCCTTTCGGCTTTTTTCGTTGGGGGGCTTCCGGGGCGGGGGCGGTTTTAAACCCCCTTGAGGGCCTTTGGGGCAAAACTTGGGAGGCTTGGCATGTACCTGCAAAAAGCCCCCAAAGCAAAAGGACAAACTCTCCTATGGGAGGAGGTTCGTGTCCCTGGTCCTTCCGTTGGACCCCACTGGGGGTTGTTTTAAAAAACAACCTTAAGAAATCTGACTGTTGAAAAAAATAAGTGCCTGCATAAACCAAAGTAACTTCTACATTTGCTCCTGTGCTTTCAAATCACCCATCTACAAAGTGGCCACATTTTTCCAAATTTCCTGGAGATGCCGGTAAGTCTTCCGCCAAACTGCCTACTAATGTTACTATGGGTTTCTAGCCTCAGGAGATCACACCTCAGAGCTGGGACCCCCTGATGCCATCCCACCAACATTACCCACACTGAAGGGCTTTCCCAGGTGATGCCTGTTTCACTGAAGACTTGGGGATCTTGCGCTTACAAACAGGTCAAAATGAAATAGCCCTCAGGTTAAGCCTAGGTTGGGCTTCCCTGGTAGCTCAGGTGGTAAAGAATCTGCCTGCAATGTGCGAGACCCAGGAACACTCTCTGGGTTGGGAAGATCCCTGGAGAAGGGAATGGCTACCTATTCCAGTATTCTTACCTGGAGAACTCCATGGACAGAGGAGTCAGGTGGGCTACAGTCCATGAGGTTGCAAAGAGTCAATCATGACTGAGCGACTAACACACTTAAGCCTAGTTTATGGAGGGCCAGTGGGGTGGAAGAATTACTGTATTTTAAATGAGGAGTTTTAGTTTAGCAGATGGCAGCAAGAAGATGCTAAAATTTTAATAT